TAGTGACTCTTGCTTCATCTATGTAATAAAAAATGCTGGTCCTGCCCAACAGCCGGCAGACAACCTGCACAGGGAGCTTTTCTCTACTGGTAAATGATAGTTTAGAAAGAACTACAATTAAATATGTTACTCCATCAACCACCTCCTTGTAAATTTTATTCCCAGCAGTGCAAGGATTGGAGTTATCAAATGCATGAGTCATGTTTTATTTACTTAAAAGAATTTAGCTCAAGTACTCCACTGTATCGAAAAGGAATAGAAGAAAAGGTAACTATCCATTCTTTTAAATAGATAGCATACATGAGCAAGCTATCGTAAAACAAAGCACTTGGCTGCTAAGGGTAGCAACAAAGCCAGGCTGGCATCAACCTAACAAAACCACCCATCCCCAAGTGTAAGATTAACCAACTCAGGTCTGTGTTCTTTGCTCTGCAAAAAAGTTAGGTGGGTCTCTAAGCCAGGCTCTTCTTTAGGTGTGAAATAACAGCAGACACTGTTGTATATGTCTGTCTTAAAAGCAGCTTCAAAAAGCCTCTGATATCTCCATCTCTTTGGCTGAACTTCAGCATCTTCTCATCCTGCTCCTAATAGAGCTATAGAAAGCGGCACACATTTGCTGAAGTCCACCCCTTTTGGCTAGTGCTTCGTGGGATTAGAGATTACCTGACCAATTATAATAAAAAGTGAATCTAGGGCTTGTAAAATCTGCCTGGAATTACTGCTGACAACTCAGCTATGAAGCAGCAGCCCAACAGCTAGCTAACACGAAGCCACAAAACCAGTCACTTAACTACCTATATTATGTAACCTGGCATCACCTCAGCTTTACCTGTCAGGACATTCCACGGGTAACACCCAACACTATCAGATGAACATCACCAGGGCATAATTTATCTATGAGGGATGCTAAACTCCCTGTCGGTAGTTTGTTGCTCACATTTGAGAGGCCACATTCTTTTGGTTCAAAAGCAAGGCCGTGCTCCAGGCACCAGCAGCTCCTGTCCAACCTCTGAATCGATTCCAGTCTACCTTGTCACAACTCCTATGAAGAAACATTTCACCAAAACTCTGCATATAAGAAACTGATATTTTTTCCTCAACTCAGAGGAGTTCAGCTGCCACCAGGAGACATGGAATGGACCCCCCCGCCGCTCTTTGGATATCTCGACGGAAGGCGAGTCCCGGATCTCCTGCAGCCCCAGGCGGACATGGAGCAGCACAGGAAGGGCCTCAGCAGCGAGGAGTGGAGCCGCCTGTTGCATGCGATTAGGCGCCTGGAGAGGGAGCGCCGGCTGCTGCGCCGGGCGGAGGAGTGGCTGCAGGAGATGCAGGAGCACCTGAGCAAGGTCGAGGAGCAGCTGTCGGAAGTGGAGGAGCAGTGGCAGAGGGAGGAGGAGCAGCTGCAGGAGGCACTGCAGGAGGAGCAGCTGCGGGAGGCACTGCAGCGGGTGCAGGAGGCACAGCAGCGGGGGCAGGAGGCACAGCAGCGGGGGCCGGAGGCACCG